GGGCGCGAAATACAATAAAAAGAAAAGAAGAGCACGGGATGAAATAGAAGAGAATATAATTAACAAAGTAATGTTGCAGTACAGAAAATAGGTAGTAAAAGAATATCGAACAGAAGCTAGCATGAAAAGAAAAGAAAAGAACAGAAAAGAAAATGCGGTGGCAGCTTGGTGCACGCTCGCTTACGCGTCGGCTCACGCGGGCGCACGCGGCCTCGGGAGAGATTAACAACTTCCCGTGCCATTTAGCTCGACGAAACTCGGGCTCGAGCGGTCCACATCAACGCGCGCTAAACAGACCAGACTGATGTTTGTAAACAGTCGCAATACGATCCGAAATGTAGATGCCCGCAATACCTGTGATATAGTCAATTTTACGCGATACAGGAGTTGAGGAAGTAAACTCTAATGCTTTTACGTTTATAGATATTATAAATTTATTATATTTTGTATATAATAATGTAGTATATAATAGCTGTTTATATATTATTGTAGAAAATGTATAGCAGTTTTCGAATGTAGTTTGGTGCTCTCAAATATGTAGTAACACTGCGCCTAAAAGGAAATAGCGTATTATTTAAAAAAATTTAATCAGAAAACTAAATATCTAAAAAAAATACATACAACTCTAGAAATCCTCCATGGTATGATATGTCTTAAAACACGGAAGAGGGCTCCGCCGCTGTCACACAGGACTTTTTTCAGGCCGTGTGACGGGACTGCACCGGGGTTGCATATACTGGTGGCGATGGTGGTGGCTGGGCATCCATCCCACGGGCGACTCTATCAGCTGTTCTTCCTGCCCATGCTATCCCTGCCTTCCGCTGTCTCGGCGACGTAGCCGCTCTCTCAATCCTTCCTGGATGCTGGGTCCTCGATGCTGGTTCACGATGAGGTCCTCGGTGATGGTCCATGATGATGTCCTCGATGCCGGTGCTCGAGCCAGTGCCCTACGGGGAATGGTGACAGGGACGGAGGGGTGGAGGGGAGGGATCTTATCCTAAATATACTAACTAGAACACTAAATATAAGTGATTAACGATACTAAATATCCGCAATTACCAATACTAAATATAAACGCTATACTCAAGGCCTGTGGGACCTCGAGCCAGGAAGCGGAGGGGAGTCCGTGGTAACATTTTTGTTACAAAATATACAACTGATTATTTCTGTTCCTTCATTTGCAATCTTCATAGTCAAAATACATTTATCGTTCCAATAACCAATGCCTTAACAATTTAACGTTTTCCATCGAAAATTGGAAATGGGGAACATGATGGTGTGAATACCGGGTGAGTAAGTTCTTGCGCAGGTTTTGCATCTCCTAGGTCCACGATGTGTTCAGATTGTCCTATGAAAGCTCCCAACCAACTCTTCTTCTCCAGCTCTTTCACATAGATCCTGGAGGTATCTTGCAGAATAACCCGCAGAATTTTCTTAACGTGATTGTACGGTACATCACCGGAGGTCCAAGAGATTCTATGAAAATTTCTTTCTCGCCACAAATTAATACTCTTGTACTTGGCAGGTAAGCAATTCCATGGACAAGGTGGTTGAAACAGAAACGTTGCAGGCTCGGAGAAATTGCTGCCCACTCCAGTCACAGAGAATTCTTTCAACATAAACTCGTTCGAGGGTTTCTTGAAACCTTGTACGTTTAGATGACGTTTAGATTAGGATGAATTCCATTTTGATAGACTGCGCAGGGAGAGACGATTGCAGCTTCTTTATACCAATTTTTTCACCCCACCACTGATCGGGTTGTATTCTACTATACGATCGTGCAAGATCAGGTAGAATGTCGATGTATCGGCAGGGAAATTATTTTTCGCCTCGAATTCCAGACGAATATCGACAGGTCCAAGTTTAAGGGATTCATTTTGCTTGGAGCAATCCATAACGTTCAATGGAGCATACTCGAGAAATTCATTCTTCAGGAGGTTCAGGATCCTTGCCATAGTACGTAGCTTGAAAGTTTACGTACATCTCGTACAGCAGAGCAAACAATGCAAAAAAACGAATGCTTTACTTTCCTCTTGTGACCTTAAATCCTAGATTTTCCAGAAACAAGACGTTTCGACGTGTTAGCGGCTTGAGAAGCGGTCGACGACTGATCCCTCTTTGGCATATCGGTCTACTATTATAACCATTGTCAATTTTCCTATTGCAGACGATACCTATTATCGCATGGATTTGACGTGTAGCCTGATCGTTATGACTTCTCCTTGAAAATTCACTAGGTCTTCGTCTTGATCGACTATTCGAAGCTGCAGGTGATCTGTCGTCTTAGTGGTGATCATCTTGGGCGTTCATCTTGAGCTTCTAGAACGCGTTGAGTGAAGCCCAACAAACGACCTATGGAATCATTGAGTCGAAAGTCCACATCACTGTTGCACGTAATTTCGCTGCTCAACGTATTGTTAGGTTTAATGTGAATGACGATGCTCTTGTCCGTCAACGTGCTATGCACGTAGTTTTCGACATCCTCAATCTCGTAGCTACCAGTAGGTATAGTGATAACTTCATCCCTCACGTAGAGCTTGTGATCCGTGTCCACATTGGGAATCGAATTGAAGGTTAGCAACTCGACGAGTCCCAGAGTGTAATTTTTGTACGGGGAAAGCTCGACAGGAGGGATGTATTCAGCTTCCAGTATGGAGGAGGTGCCTAATAATGTTAACGTGAATGAATCCTCCACGATTGCAAACGCTCAACTGCCCTTGGGAAATTACATAGCAAGTTTATATTGTAACTATAAGAGTTACTTGGATTCTGGAAGAATCCGAATACTCAGGGAACGAAGTCGAGGGAGGTGTGTAAATGCATTAGTGCTTGGTGTACTATTCATTTTCAGGCAAGATTATTTACAGAAAATCCGTATGATTACGTTCTTATTATGACCGACCAGCTTGCTTTTAGCTAGTGATGTGGTACGAGACAAGATTTTCATCAATCTCGGTTGGTTATGCTTGCGTTTGTCTTTCCTTTTAATATCTTGTATCGATTGTTTGACATCACGTTCTCGGCTCGAAATTTCTTGAATTAATAAGCGAGCCCAAGCAAGACTCTCGAATACTCTCGAATAAGTTAATATTATATTGCAGTGAACAATGAACAATATATGAGGCAAGCTGTTAAGTTATTCTTTATTTTTTTTATTATATATATTTTCATATATATTGCTTCCAGAAAGACACTCACAATTTCTCTTCGACCACCTTTTCGTTATTCGCTATTTTCGTTTTTATTAATGACGAGAGAGTGCACGCTATCCACGAATTCAAGCATAACACGCTTCTGGCAGATTCGTTATTTAAACGGTTTCTGTGTTTGCGAAATACAAGCGATGCTCTTGAAAAAAAGCGTTCAACACGCACCGATGTTGCTTGTATACACAAGAAATCTCTTTCCATAAGAGCGAGTGTCGGAAATCGATTTTCGTGCTAGCGCCACCATGTTAATATATTATCGTTTTTAGTAGCACGGTTAAGGCTTAAGTAGTTATTGATTTCTTTTCGCCAATCCCCAATCGGAATTGAAACTTCTTCCAAATAACTCGATTCAAACAACGAATTTAAATCGAGTACGTCTTCGTTGTTAACAACGGAACCACAAGCCACATAATTTATATTTTCGCTATAATTAGTCGTAGCAACAACAGGTGCATCGAGTGCTCTACAGTTAAAATATTTTGTACTGTAGATGTGCCCAACTGATTGATGGACTCTTTTGCCATTTCTTTACTCCAAGCAGATCGCTGGAACGTCTCGATTTTGTGACGTGGGTCAAGAATAAGCACTACGCAGTACATCCAATTGGCTTTAGAGTAATGCTTAACAAGTTTATCTCGAGATGCCGCTACGGCATGAGATATAATACCATCGATTGACTTTAGCTAAGAGGTTATGGCGCGTGATTGCAGGCAAGCTTCAAGCTTATCAAGCAACATATTTACACTTATAATGACTAATGGTAACGATGCGTACTTGTCACCACTAAGGGCGGTGGACAGTACTTTAAAGTGTCGGAGGAATTTAGGAAGCTCTGTCAATAGAGCCCATTCATTTTCCGAAACAGAAGACGTCTTAAGAATGATATTATTTCCACACAGGAAATTAAGGGCTTCTTTCATTTCAATTGCTGTATGGATCATGTCACAGGTCGAGTTCCATCGCGTTGCCACACCAAAGTTCGGTGACATCATCTTGCTATTTGTTGTTTCACAGCACGCCTTGAAAGAAGAAGAAACGACACGGCGTATTACTGACAAACAGTATACGAGCAGTGTTTTGCGGACCATCCAATTGCGGAAAGACAAAGTCATTGCTCACTCTCATAACTCATCCTAACGGATTAAGATTCGAAAACGTCTACTTATACTCAAAATCGCTTGATCAGTCAAAGTACAAGTTTTTAGAATGTTTACTCGCATCCGTGGAAGGCGTCGAGCCGTCATCGCTTTACGGATCACGAACAAGTGTTGCCACCGAACGAGGCACGTCAAAACTCGATAATTATTTACGACAACATAGCTTGCAAGAAGCAAGATAACTTCAGAGCCTTCTTCAGTATAGGACGACACAGGGACGTTGACTGTTTCTATCTCTGTCAGACGTACGCTCGCATTCCTAAACATCTGGTACGGGACTATGCTAATCTGCTGGTGCTGTTTAAGCAGGATGAAATGAATCTCAAGCATGCGTACGATGACCATGTAACCACTGATATGACTTACGCACAGTTTAAAGATCTGTGTTCGACATGGTGGAACGGTGATAAGTATGGGTTCCTCGTAATCGACAAGGACAGTGAGCTTGACGGAGGTAGATACAGAAAAGGATTCGATTGCTTCGTGAGCATAAATGAATGATCATTGAAAAAATGAATGCAGTAGCATTTTGGATTCAGTAACGGCACCATCCAACGCAGAAAACTTCAGAAGCAAAAAGACGTCTTATGCCAAATGCTAAAGCCAGCAATGCAATTCGCAAAAAAACATAGAATGATAAAATTGGGTAGAGAGAACGTCGAACAGACGATGAGTGAGGTCTTCAAACCGGTAGTGACTCCACTGCAGAAACTAGTGAACGTGTCTCAGCCGGAGCGTAATTTTATCAAAGACGAGATTAAAGATGAAATAAAGCAAGACGTAGAAGCAGATGATACGTTTAGATCGGCTGATAAATCTTTCAAGTCGTTAAAGAACGATTCTTTCGAAGGAGTTGATGAAGAAGGAGAAGAAGAAGGCAAACATGTTAATCAAGATGAAGGAGATAACGATGACGCAGATGTACCCGTTAATCAGAACGATCCTATACAACAGTATCTCGATATGTTACTATCGAATCAAGGAAAGCATCTGGATACCGCCTATGGTATGCGTAAACTCGCTAAGAACAAATTGATGATATGCGGTTCGCCTATCAGTTTTGAAGGTGATCGAATCCATATAGGCGATACGAGTTACTTGAAAACTGCGGGTTTGATCGAACTCTTGTTCAGGAAAGTGCCTGACGATACTAGTATAACCCAGAATGACTTGGCCAATTACAAAAACATTATTGTAACGACGAATGCACATAGGAAGTACTATAAATCATGATGCAATTCGTAAGAGTAAGAGTTTCAAATTTAGTAACGTTATTGCAAAACTGATCGAACAGCCCTCTGTAACGGGCAAAGGTTATAGTACCGCGGTACATAATCGCTTGCAAGGTCGGACGTACGGATTACGTGTACTGGAACGATCTCAAGGAACTGGTAGACCGCCTCCGCCTGTTCCCTGCGTCTCACGAAGCTGGTAACCCCAGTCACTCGAACGAAATCGTATCGATTATCGTAGAATTGCATGAGGCGGGAATCATTTATTAATTCGATAAAACGATCGCGATCGCCACTTTGAACATGAGCGTCGACGTGTTTGGACGTCAGTTGAGTAGCAGGACCGCGGTTACAACGGCTGCAACGTTGCCGATCCCGAGGAACAAAGTGATGCTGTGACCTTGAATCTGATGAAAACTGTAGTGCAGCAGGAGGTCATTACCGTGTTTCAAGTGACTGCTGGAATGCGCAATGATATCGATAACAACAACTTGATGATTCAATCTCTCGATTCCACCACGAAGGAAGCGTTGAAACGTCTGCAAGCTGATATCGAGGAAGGACAAAAATTGGCTATTTGCGACTCTCTGATCATTTCCCAGCTGGATGCCAGACTAAGTGCACTGGAAAATAGATGGAAAAAAGTTAGCGGTGGTGAAAGAACTGCATAGACCTGCTAGGAGAAATTACCAACGTCGACACGTTGACGTCTGTGGGCTGGACGAGACTTGGCAAGCGGATCTCGTTGACATGTCAACGTACGCCAGAGAGAACCACGGATACAAGTATCTGCTCAGCGTCATCGACATATGTTCAAAGTTTGCTTGGACCGTGCTAACGAAGAGCAAGAACGCTAAAGACGTGATAGCAGCTTTGAGATCTATATTGGCGCAGGGTCAAATCCCGAAGAAATTGCATGTTGACAAAGGCCGAGAGTTTTAGCATTCCGAATTCAAGGATCTTATGCAAAAACACGGTATTACCCTGTATTCGACATTTAGTAACTTGAAGGCATCGATCTGCGACCGTTTTAATCGTACTCTGAAAAGTAAGATGTGGATGCAATTTAGCTTACAGGGAAATCACCGGTGGCTGGATATCTTATCGGACTTGGTATCGGACTCTTACAATAACAGTAAGCATCGCACCATTGATATGAAACCGACAGATGTGACTGCTCGTAACGAGAAGGAATTACTGCAACGGGTGTGCAAGAAATTCAAAGCCAAGTCCACACTTAAACGATCAAAGTTTAAAGTCGGCGAAAAAGTACAAATCCGCAAATTTAAACACATCTTCGAGAAAGGTTATACACCCAATTGGATAACTGAATTTTTCACGATAAGTCGAGTGAAGAATATCGATCCAGTGTCGTAATAACTCAAGGACTACCAGGATCATCCCATCGAGGGTGGCTCTATTGATCATGAACTTACCAGCGTCAAGTATCCCGACATATATCTTGTGGAGAAGGTACTGAGGAAACGTGGACACAAGCTATTTGTGAAATGGTAAGGTTTCGATGATTCGCACAATAGTTGGATAGATAAGTCGGATTTTTAAGGTGTTTGAAATAAACCAGAACTAAAATATTTATTACCTCTTGTTATTTATATTTTCTTACATATTATTTACATTTGTATAGAATATTTACATTTATACATTCTTATTGTCATATTATATATACATCTTACATTTTATAACCCCACGGAAGAATGTCGGTCGTACTAGGAAGAATGACCCTTTTGTCTTCATTCCAGCTCAGTGCTACCGTTTTCTGTTGTACGATATAAACTTTATGTATTTTACTCTGAATTAAATTTTGATATTTTAGTAAATTTTGGTGATGTAAAAGACACTGAATATAATCATCAAAGGTAATTATTTTTAATGTAGATCCTTTGACTTCTTTCGCACGTCTCTTATCTTTGTTTTCTCCTAAAATTTTGAAGGAATATAATTTTGCTCGCAACCCTACACATTGAACCATAATTTTTCCATTATTTTCGTCCTTCATTGATTCTAATACTTTTTTATTTGCCAGTGGTATATCATAAACATTATCCAGAGGATAGTCTGAGGTGTCAAATTGATTTAAGTCACATTTAATATACTCATAGATATTCAGAACAGTAAAGTAGTATACGAGACTATAGGTGTCGGTATACATCAATTTAGCTTTATCACCAAAAGTATTTTGTATATAGTTATAGTGAAAATCGTATATGTACGTTTTAGAAATGTCTAGGATAGAACATCCTGCGTATATCGGTTTATTGAATTTAATTTTTGTTCGATTTAATTCCACTATGATCATATCTTCATCAAATACGGTACAGCTATGAAAATTTGGTTTTGCAATCAGAGCCTTTGCTCTGTACGCTCCATCCTACCTAGTAACCAGTCTAATGTCCTTTTGTTTTCTAAAATTTGCCACCGTTTTACCGAAAACCGAATTATTCATAAGTTTATCAAAGTTTTTTTCAAAATCATTATTCGATTTTTTTCTCGTTTCGGTGTTCAAATCTATATATTTTTTGAGCCACACGATGAATTTTTGTTAACTTTATACCTATTATCAAACACTGTTTCAAATTCTTATAATGAATGATGTATCTATCTTTCGGGAGGAGCGAAGTTATCAATTTCGAATTGTTAAAGCGTGGAGGAGTGTACTGCTGTGGACAGAGAAGCAAATCTTTATGAAGTTCTTGAAGTTCGATCGGATACTCCAAATCAATTTCGAATATGTAACCCGTAAGAGAGTCATCAGGAATATTGCGAATATTCAATTGCTCAAAATTTTCTTCCATTTCGAATGAGCCTACTAGTAAAGATTGGCTCATAGCTGGACCGTATAAATTATTTACGTCATAGTACATAAGATACGACTCTTCTTTGCTTGGATCGAAATCTGCTCCCATGTATCTATTTTTAGCCCTGGCGTATCTGTTGAAGCATTGAGCTACGCCACCTCGGATACCTCTCTCGATAAATAACATCTCCACATCAGTCAGCAGCTCAAGTTCAACACCCGTACACTTGAGCATAGCGTCGAAAGCAAGGCCCGGTGCAGTGTAATAGTGTAGAGGATCTAAATTGTATATGGCGTATCAATTGCGTCTAAAATTTTCAAAGATATCAGCTAGAAGGAGAACATCGGTTTCCAGATACAAATCAGAATATTCACCTAATGTTTTCATGCAAAAAGTTTGCCAAATATTGCAAGCGTGATCATAATCTGCTTCTGAAATTCCTTGGTTATTCAATTTTGAATAAAATTCTTCTTTTACGGGTAATCGATCCTCTTTGAGTTTTTCTCAATTATCAATATATTCGTAGGTAAAAACACCTTTTCTAGTCAATAAATGGAATTCCTCTACATTATTACAATGTTTACGCGTAATTAGTTTTTCATCATCTTTCAAATAGGATGCTAATTTTTCAATACTACTTGGCATAAATCTAAACGAATCAATAAATCGATAATTTACAATAGTATCTTTGACGCTCTTCGTGAAAGATTTATATCTTTCTTTGTTTACTGCTAAGAGGTTCATTGAACCCTCGAAAGATGTAGCTTGAGCTCTAATCAAGAAGTGTGAATCATAACCAGATAAGTTATGAAATATGGCAGGATCGGTATGTGAGTTCTTATAGTTCAAATTACACCCCTGATGTGCAGCACCGCGATATGTGCCTGTAAAATGGCAATGATCACGATGCTTGGCATCCTGAGGTGTAAACGGTTTTTCACAAACATGACAAATCTTGGCCGAATAAAATTAATTAATTTGTTTGAAATTTAAAGATTCCATTGATACGATACGTTTTAGGTAAAATTCTATAATTTGAGCTAATTCCTTTAATTGGAACATGTCTTTGGTAGAGAGTTGTGTTTAACGAGTTAGACTTATCCACAATTGGCTCTAATATACACTCGATGTCAGCATAAACGACAAACGGGACAGGTTCTTTATACTTACAATTTTTAAATTTCATAGTTTTATTTTTTTCATCCGGTAATACGACTCTGCATTTATTTATATTTGCACAATCGAGTCTATGTTTTTCAAAAGAACTTTCTAGTCTAAAGTGACATAGACATCTGTCACACAGTCTGGTACAACTATGATGCTTTGAAATTTGTGAACTCAGTAAACGGAATAGATTTCGAATCCAAGCAAAGTGATACACTACCGTCTTCCATGTCCACATCATCTCCATTCGAATAAATTTTTGTTGCCAACATGAGTAAATGAATCGCTTCCTTGTTTGGTTTTTGCTCACTTAGGTAAATTGGTACTATGTCATTACCACTATCACACTCTATACCGTAAACGTTAATTACCAAATCATTCATCTTCTCAAATTTTGAAATGTCCTTTAAGCCAACGGGAAACTGTAATCCTTCATACCTTAGCACTGAGCTGAAGTGGGGGTACGAACTGATTCTGTCTACATGATCTTTTGCTGGATGAAGGGTTGCCGTAACCGACTAGAGAAAACAATACGGATCGTTGTTTCTAATGTTCACGACTGCTTTCTTGTTTTGGACATTCTTAGGCAAGTCGATGAATGTTGATAGACCACCGTATATCTGTTGATGTTTACTGCTAAGTTTATAATTTCTATCAATGACCAACCAAATTCCCTTTCTTGAAAGTCTTCAACCTTAGCTAGTAACTTTTCCTTCACATTTGTATTAAACCAGTCGCTGATATCGGTGGATGGTAGAATAACTTCGTTTTCAGTGTTGAAGAACTTTAGTTCTTCGACAATCTCGCCACCTTTTATGGTCTAGAATTTACATGATAAGACGACGTTCACTTTCAAATTTCCGTCCTTTGAAAGTGCGTTTTTACTCTCGCAGTATACAATTTTCTGAAATCTTCCAGGAAACGGCCCAAGTCCTTATGTCTCAAGTTTGCAATGACTCCAGTCCTTATTTTTCTCTTAAAGGCAGATTTCAAGTCATCCCAACGCAGTCTGTCACTTCTTCTCTCTCTCGCTGTTCCTCCACTTCTTTTTTGAAGTTGTTGTTTACATTTTTCGTTCAGAGATTTGAGGATTCCGATCGTTGTTAAAATGTTGATTTTCTCTTCGATCGTAAGAGTAACGTTTTAAATTTTATTTAAAAGTCTGATATTTTGAGTGTCAAATTTCGTCCATTTTTCAATTTCTGCAATCGATGATCCCTTCTTCAGAAGTTTATATGCTCCTTCCATAATCTCGATCAACTTTTTATACTTTGCAGAATCTATCTCGTTAATACCAGTAATGCACTTGAAGATTTAACAAACAATGATCGCTGTGCATCATCGAAGGGTCTTTTATACGAAGGTTTCAAGGTTTTTCTGGAATTGTTTTGCATCGGTTTGAGCGATAAGACACCTACCCGAATTGCGCACTTTGAGCTCGAACTCTACATCAAAAAGTTTCCGAAGTGCACAAAGGGTCGTTTGTCTTCTGCGAGTAATTCGATACCCTGAGTAACAAGGTCAAAACCGTGTCCGGCTGCCGTCTGAAGTCTGCTTGGGGGTCGGGGAAGTCATCGAAAGTTTCGGGGCGGAGGGTGGGGCTGCCGTTCGAAACCTGTACGAAGGCTTCCTGGAATCGAATGGCTGACGAGAGCGAACAAATTTCCTGGAATCGATGCTGCTGCTACATTCTCGATGCGCAATTCTGCGAGATAAAGTTCAAAGTCAAAACTGTTTTTTCCATCAACGTAGTATCGCGTGTATTCGAATCAATGTCAAGATCCATGCATCTTACAGACGGAGTGACTTACGTTCTAGAACGTTCGGATGAATCTTAGCCCTCCTCCGACGAAGTTGCGTCGCACGCTTACGTATATCCTACGAGTAATTTGACACCTCGGAGGTTGAGGGATTGCATTCTTGACGCGTGACTCTGCGAGGTCCGTTTCGACCTGCGCGAAACTGGGGTTTGGGGGATTCGCGAAGCTTCTTCGTGGTATGAGGAGGCTGCGAGATAACGTTCGATGTCAAGTAGGCTACTGTACGAAACCTGCATGGGAGGGCATCGTTTCCTGGAATGAACCTCGTAATTTTGACAGATAACGTTCGAGGTCAAACCGGCTGAGGGCTGCCGTCCGAAACCTGCACGAACTTGCACGGGGATGGGAAGGGTTCATCGAAGCTTCTAAAAAGCCCCCCCCGGGTGAGGGTCAAGGGGCTCTATCAAAACGTCACGCGAGAGGACCATTGGCTCTGGGAGCGATCCTTCGCGACTTAGCATGGACACGAACCGTCGAAGCTTCTAGAAGGTTCTCGATCATGTGTGATTCCTAGAATCGAGCGCAAAATTCCCGGAATGTGACGCAAAATTCCTAGAATCACCCATAAATTCCTAGAAAATAGGGGTCTCGGTGACATCACTTCCGGAAATCGTAGAGTTCACGACGGCAACTTAGCACGGACATGCACCTTTGAAGGTTCTAGAGTGTCGGTATATGTCGGTTACAGGAATCCTGGTCCAGAACTCCCCAACTAATACTACTAAAGGTAGCGATTTTAATATCACCTTGAACTTCAATCATCAAAGTGATGGATAGTCCATTTACAACAATTTCATATCAGCGTTAAATTTTTAACTGTTAACTTCAACTACTCAATAAAAATAAGAATTTGTGAGTACATTATCATAAATTTATGATTGTAAAAATAGAATTGTAAATAATAATTCATGAATTTAAATGTAGATATGTATTGTGACGTTAATTCGGAACAGACGGAACT